TGCCTTTTAAACTCACCGGTGGGTTTTGGAGTTTAGAAGGTTAATTAGTTTTAGATCAAGCTTTACAACTAGCAGCTCTGCCGGGTTCTGTTCAGACTACCAGCCTCAATCTTTTTTCCTCAGATTTACAGATGTGTCTTGGTCTTTTGCATCACTCGCAATGTGACACACGATGAAAATGTCAAATCCAGAGTGATGAAAGTGCTGATCAGAATCCATGCTGGCATCCGTCCACAGCGACAGCACGGAAACAGACACTGAAATATTTAAATCGTCTGCTGGTCGACACCACAGTTTTTTAGAGCGCAAGATCCACTTTTTATGCCTTGGTGCTGAGAAGCAGCATCATGATGCGTACGTCATTACAGCAGCAACCCATGCAGATAGGTGGGTGATGTTTGGACACACAAAGCAGCTCTGATCACTTACAACACCAGCGCAGGCAGTCTGTCCTATAGACCTGATATGAGAAGTATATTTCCCTGCAGTCTAAACAAAGCCTGCACAGTGTGAGCTTATTGCTAATATCAGCAAGCCAAGATTCCCACAAAGACCTTGCAAGCATGCTGATGCTTTATAGATACAGCATTTATTATGTCCACCAAATTAAGTCTTTGCTAACATTTGCCAGATTGGCCCAAAACACAAGGCACAGCTGAACCTGCAGCGAATTTCATTAGCTGTGAAAGTATTTTGTTATGAACTTCATCCTCTTGGGACCATGAATATTTTTATCCTTTTTTTATGGGCAACCATCTCATTATTGTTGAGATATTTCAGTGAGGCCCCAGTGGGCGACTGAGCAATTGAAAGAAACTGCCACATACAGCCACGCTCTGCCGTGGCTAAAAGTAGTGCTGCTCTACTCGATAAACTCTAAAATGCAGGGTTAGCATTAATGGTCTCATCTCCAGTAAGATACAAATTCCCAAACGAACAATGTACGAGTGGGCATGATTCAATGGTATGCTGTGGGACCACTATTATAATCAGAAACAGCTTTAAGCACAAAGGGCTGTTTGTGGAACAGCTGATACAAACAACACAGGAACACGCACGCTTCAAAACTCCCTCCAACTATGTGATTGTTAATAATCACGAATGTTCCCTTTGTTGTTAATCCTGTGCAGATATGAATTCCTTTGGACATTTTCTAAACACAAGATTTTACACACATTCAAATTCTGCCTGGCACCTCTCAACTTCACAACAACATGTTAAAACAACATCTATAGATAAATGAATAAACACTACACACATATGTGCGCATAAGACTGACTAAAATATCAGATTACATAACAGACAGCAAGAAGAAAACCGAAGGCGTCAGATAAATGAGTCCAGTGTGGATCAGAATGTCACTACTTTGGGGAGGGGTTTTGAATTTTTTATTAGTCCGTAGTGCAAATTATCAAAAGCTTCAGTGACATTTTGGTTGAATTTTCAAGCGGCTTTCCTCACTTTTCAGCACAGAGACCGTCGTTCCAATTCGTGCAGCAGTAAAGTCAAAATAAAACAGACTTATTTATTGCTGAGAAGTGCAGTGCATGTTGGAATGGAAAACTCAAAGGACATAAATAACCACACATTGGTTAAATTACCAAAATCCAATTTAGGTTAATTCAGCTCACTCCTGATAATAACCAACAATAATTTGAAGGACGTGTGCACTCACCAGTAAAAGGTAAATATACAGCTGCTTCCTTCATACTCAAATATTGTCCTATATTGTCATATATATCCAGCCTGCTTCATGCTTCCTTATGCAAATCTAGGCTCAAAACTAATAGGGCAGCGTATTTATTCAGACAACACTGATTTTTGAACACCCTGTTTTTTATTCAAATGCTGCTGCTTTCATTATTTAATATTGTATCCTACCATTTGTTGTAAATTGCTATGGTTATGTTTCCATTTTCCTTTATTTTATTTTGCACTTTAGCTCTCAGAGTAGCTTATATTTCACTCCCCATTGCTTGTGTTGTACACCATAATGAGGAATCTTGTAGAGAACACAGTCTAGTCGAAGGCGACACAGGTGCTCTGCATTCCAACAGCACCTCGTCTTGTTTATTATAATCTAGCAATACTGGATGTGGCTCATGTTGATTTCATCTTGCAGATCATGTGTACTGCATATAGAGGGATGGAGCTTTGTTCAAGGTCCGTGCCTGTAAATCAACACCATCACATTGGATTCATACTCCGGTGATCGTTGGGGTGGTTCGCATGGCATTACGAGCACTGCAACTAAACCTTTTCATATATATCTGACAGATACAGTATAGCAAACACAGGGATTCAGTGTGAGGAGAATTATTGCCATAATACATATCCTAACTACAAAACTGTTCATTCAGAGTTAAGAGCTTTCTTTAAAAAATGGAGGTTTGTCCTTTTGCAGGCAATAAAATGTGATGGTGTGTGTATTGTCAAAACCTTTTTTGGTGAAGTACTTGATTTTTTCAAGAAGGAGACACATCGAAATAGCTCATTTATGTTGCTTGCACATTAATTTGCACCACATATGTATGATTCATTTAATGAAATGGTATAGGCTATAGATTTCTGAAATAACTCCTGCATAGACATGAATAAGGCTTGCCTGAGAAACACCGAACAGCACAACGACTGAAGGATTAATTTCTGGCTGAAATTGCAAGTTAGGGAAAGCACCATGGTTTTAGGAAAGCAAATAAATAGTTTGAAAAACACTTGTGAGGAGTCTTCTCTGGAATCCGGATGTGTGGGGAGTGAGTCTGGCAGACAAGGATAAAGGACTTTAACAGGAGCGCGCTCACAATTACTGCATCAAAGCCGTGCAAGAATTAAAGTGGAGGCTGAGCTGCATCTGCACCAGCCTGTGCCAGCTGAGGAAAGAGTCTTCATGTGTGGTTTGTCTAGTCTTTGAAGGTGTCAGTCAGGAATCAGGTTTGTCCTGAGATGCAGTTATAAACTCTGGACAAAGCTAGTCTGAGAAAAAAAGGACACACTACTCTGGGATTGTGGTGGAAACAATGAATACAGAACTTTGAACTGCTTTTCTTCTTTTTCTTTTTTTGATAACTCTTGTTTACTGGACAGACTATGGATGGGTGTTTCTAATAAAAAGTCTGTCAATACTGTTGCAACTGGCTGCAACAGACTAATATAGAATCAAATTTACCAAAGTAAGTCACTCTAACTCTTTGGCCCCATCTTAAATGTTAGCAAGAGGCTGCTTAAATGCTTAAATGAGGTTTTTCTTGTGTCACTAATGTTCACATTCAGGTGATGCCATGAGATGATGAACATGAGTGAGCAGGTTCAGTGTTCAGCCAGCTGAGTACAGCTGAACAAAGCCAGCATTCATTTGCTTTTTGAGATTAGAGCATATATTTGCTGAAGTTGGCGGGGCGGACAGTTGAAGATTGAAATTGATTTTTGCGCACACAAAGAAATTCCCCATGTGTGGTAGCTGTAAGGCCCTCACCCACAGTCTTGGTATGACCATGTTTACAAACTAATTTCAATTGAAAACATCCAGTAAAGGCAGCCCTCAATATGGTGATATTGTTTTATGTGATGTATGGGTCCTGGGGCTGCAGGGTGACACAGCTGGTTAGCACTGTTGCCTCGCAGCAAGAAGGTCGCCGGTTTGCGTCCCGGTGAGGGCACCGGAATCTGTCTGCGTGGAGTCTCCATGTTCTCCCCGTGCAGCGTGGGTTCTCTCTGGGTTCTCCGGCTTCCTCCCACACAGTCCAAAAACATGTTGAGGTTAATTGGTGATTCTAAATTGTCCGTAGGTGTGAATGTGAGTGTGCTTGGTTGTCTGTCTCTAAGTGTAGCCCTGTGATAGACTGGTGACCTGTCCAGGGTGTCTCCTGCCTTCACCCTAAGTCAGCTGGGATAGACTCCAGCCCCCCCATGACCCTAGTGAGGATTAAGCGGTGTATAGATGATGGATGAATGGATGGTATGGGTCCTGTTTTTTTTTTTTATAATACCCTAAAACTACATCAAAATAGAAGCTTTTTGCTGCACATTCACACAGAACATAGAAACTTGAGTGTCATGTTGAAATAATAATGCTGCAATTGTATGCATGAGGCCCATTAGGCTGATTTTCTTTGTGTACAGATGCTGCTGAGCTATCGTTGACTATGAGTACACAGATTTTCATGTATGGGTTGCCAATACCCTTTTTTCATGGTGTCTTCGATGAACTTGTCCTTTGTTAGTGGCTCTATCATATCATGGCAGTGTTCTTTCTTTTTATTGTTCCAGGAGTAGTGCCTACTTTTGCCTGTTGTCAAGTTCTGACATTGACTTTGAAGCCGTTCCTTGTTGCCTGTGTTTGTACCAGATGACCTGCTACATATTAGTTCTGAGCAGGTTGTCAAAAAAATTCAGTGAAATGTTCAGCAAGTAGCTGAAAAAGACATTGTCAGCCTCTAATTTAATTCCAGCGCAAAATAAATATTAGGAAAAGCACAGTCATCACTTTCATTTTGTCAGGTCTTTCTTTTTTTTTTTTTTTTTTTGGCAGGTACACCTGGTCGGTAATTTTACAGCTCCTCAGAGAAGCTGCTGAAGGGGATTGATGCTGCTGAGGTTATGCAAGCAGCAGTCTGGGAAAGTGCAAAGATGAGCTCATTAGAGTTTGGTTTTCTGGGGACAGAAACATCTCCCTGCTCTTCCTACTTAAGTGCAATTTTTTTTACATATTTATATGAAATGCAAAATCAGTTTCATTCCCACAAAAGCATAGTCCACAATGGAGGACACTGACTGATGCTGGCTTTATGTCTATTAAATACCTGTAGCAATCATACAGCAATGGGATTGACATTGATCTCACCTACAGCAATACAAGATGTGTATCACAAAAGAACAGACAACATGTGTGTTTGTCTTTGTATATATCAGATTGAAACATTTCAACAACCAGAAATGTCATTTTCTGTTGAAGGAAAAATCAATGTATTATATTCTTTGTCTTGTCTTGTTTTCTTTTTCAGGGGATAATAACGGATGGCCACATCTTTTCGACAAATACTTTGGAATGCCAAGTCACAACGCGAGGACCAAGTCCAACGTGTGCTGTAAGTACTTGTAAACTTTCTCTCTCTCTTTTTTTTTTTAATGCTGCTCATACAATCTTTTTTTTTTTCTGGTTGCTAAATGAGCTTATCAAACTTGTTTGGGGGGGAGTTCAGAGGATGGAGCTTTGTGTTGCCTCTAATCCCTCTGAAGAGACTGTAAGCAGTGAAACGCGTCACCACGGTGAACTCGGTCATCTGTAGAAATAAGTGCTGCTGGATTTTCACTATAAATAACAAGCAGTCGCGTGCTATGCTGCCGTTAGGTATTTATTTATTTAGTGCTGGATGAAAAATCTCACTTTTGTACTAACCATTACTTTCTTTAACAATTAATGTGACCACCTTTGTGGCTAATCAACAGTTTGTAAATCTAAAAAAAAAACATAGAGCTGGGAGGTATAGCTGAAAACTGTCTATGTTAATAATGTTTGAGCATTTTTAATGACCTGTGTTTGATGAAGACCACAAAGAAAAAGGTTTACTTTGTATTTAACTACTTTAAACTGTGCCAATTTACACATGAACGTCACTGAACTGCAAATTCTAGAGGAAGCAACAGTACAGAGTTACCGCTAATCCATTTTAAGGTAGGAAGGGATTATTTAAATGGGGGGAGAGAAAAAAAAAACTGTAAACATGTAGCTTTGATACACAGAAATTAGTTTATTGCCCTTTAATTGGTGCCTGGAGAGGGACTTTAAGGACAGTCGCTGCAATTAGGAATTTTGCAATGTTTTCCTCTTTGATGTTATTTGACTATTTGAAAGAACATTTCAGGGTCATTCAATTAATTTAGTTCCAAACAGACTGACATTACAGTTGTAAAGGGTAGTGCCACATTGATATTTGATACAAACAATCCTGTAAGAAGTTGCCATTGTGCTGTTTTTGATTTATAGCTTTTCATCAGATCTCACCACTCCAGCACTAATATCGAGCTGTGTCAGGTTTTCATGACCTTAACCGTGTTCACCTTCTTGTCAGAGTTTAATTTGACGACCTAAATGCACAGAGCAGGACGGTCAAAGCTACAGTCAAAATGTACTTTAAAAAAATACAATGCTGCACTAAAGCAGGCAGTGAACTAACACAAGGGAGCAGGCAGAGGCAGAATGAGGAATAAGAGGAAAAATCCAAAAGATGAGCAGGACACGGGTCGAGAGACAGAACGCTCAGCGGTGGAGACCTGAGCTGAAAGGGCTGATTAGCGGAGTGAAAACAGATAAAGAAGGGGCTCAGCCATGAACTTTCTGTTGACACTCTGTGAGAGATGCAGGAGGTCATTGCTATAGGTTTTTAGAGGATTTCATCACGAGCAGAAGTTTCGCAGCAGAGATGCCTTTGTGTCGCTGAATAGCAGAAGATAACGGAACACTTCACTCAGTTTTCTTCAAGTTGTATCCACTCCTCATGATTTCTGCCAGAATCACAAAAAAAAAATAGCGGGAGAAAACACAAGTTGTTGCTGTATCTCTGCCATTATAGTCATGGTGTTTAGCTACACATCTGTGGAGGGACATCCATTAGCACCAAAGTGTTAATGGATGTCCATGGAGGGACATTCATTATAGATCCAGGTTGAAGAACATTTCTGTTGTCCTTCAAATTCACACTTGAAAGCCATATGGATGTTTGTGTTTTCATTTGCTACCCAGTCAGTCAGATGTTAACAGCAGCTGCTGTATAACAAAGACAGAAGAAAAATGTCCTTGTAATATATTGAAACCATTTCTATACATTGAGAGTCAGAGTTCATTGTGTCCATGTGTTGTGTGAAGTGTCTCCAATTATATGAAAATGTAAAAGAACATGAGAAAATGAGCACAGCCTTGAAACATACACTGACTGTGTTACACCACCAGCACAAGCAAGCTGCAAAGAAACAAAGAACCCTGAATACTGATTCCTTAACATAAATGAGTTCAACTGACAGTTCAAGTAGTTCAGCCTGTTTACTGTGTGTTTCAGCAGTAATCTGATTCCCATTCTCAACAACGGAGTGACACAGAAACTATTGCATGTTCTTCAGCAGCCAAAGCTTTATGGCACAGTGGTAAAGAGAAAGCCACTGTTGATAAAGGCTCCTATTTAAGGGGACTAGAGTACACGAGAAGGCATGTGGGAGACTCTAGAGCCAGCCGGAAGAAGGTTCTTTGGTCTGGTGAGATCAAAAGTTAGTATTCTGGAGATTCGAAGAGACGCTTTGTTTGGCAGACACCAGACACTGCGCATCATCATAAACACGTAAGCATGGTGGTGGCAGCATCATAATGTGGTAGTGGTTCTCGGCAGCAGGTCCTGGAAGGGTGTGAAAAGGTAGAGGGTCAAATGAAGGCAGCGACATGTAGAAAAATCCTGGACGACAGCCTGCCAGTGAACTGTGACTTGGGAGATTTTGTTTTGTTTTGTTTTTTCCAGCAGAACAATGACCCAAAGCATACAGCCAAAGCTACACAAAAATGATTTAAATAGTGCTCAATGCTTTTTTTTATGGGCGCTGTTCATCATTTTAATACATGAGTCCTAAGTATTGACCCTTCCTCAAGGGTTACTTAAAACCACCTTTGTGGTAGCTCCCCCTAGTGGGTGTGTTCAGACTCACACATAGACTACGACTGCGAGGCATGCTGTCTTTGCTGGTAATAATTAACACAGGAATCCACACTAAACAGATATTTCATCGTAGTTTCCACATATTTTTTTAGAAATATAACATAATTTGCCAGGCTGACTGATTAAACATCATATCCTTCAATTAATCAAGTCCTTCTTATCCATTCAGTTATTTAGTCCTTGATAAACAAAGCTGGCTGGACTCACTACATGTATCATTACCTGTTGTCAGCTTGTTTGTCCTGTATGTCACTCTTAATAAATCCAGCTTTCATTCTTTTATTCTCTATTACTTTAGTCTCAGGGCTTTGGACTAAAGTTACCGGTCCTCCATAAGATGTAGCTCTTGACACTCTGCAGGATGACCATTTGATTGACATATCCTCTGATATCTCCTTCAACTCTCCAGTGCTGGGTGTTTTTCCTGAGCTCTGCCAGTGCCGAGACCTGGAACTGGACTGTGACGGTGCTCAGTTTCAAGATATCCCAGCGGTGGCGACGAATGTCACCATGATGTGAGTGCAAAATAACCCTTCATTCTTTTCAATATTTTAAAGCTAAAGCAATTCCCAGGAGGACTATGACTGTCACAGCTTGTGAGAAGTGTTGCAGCACATATCTGCCACTACAGAGCCCCAATTGCCTCATTTCTTTGACACAAGAACTTACTCAAAGGTAAGAAATGAACACTATCACCGGGCCTTTTCCTGAAGTACTGCACCTGACCTCTATGTTTTACTTACCTGGTTTACATAAAGCCCGAAGTCGCGTTTCGATACTTTGCCAGCAATGGATTAGAGTGATCTGTCCAGATCTGTCATGTCCTTCAGCCTAATTTACAGTCTGATGCAATCCACAGGAGAGTGCTGCCAGTAGGATAGGAAAAAAACTAACTTGTGTATTATGTGAAAATACTGTGGTGAAAGTTTGTTATAAGTACAAAAACAATATGATAGTTTCAACAACCGATCTGGGTTTGGGTTAAGACAAGTATTTCAGTAAAGTTTAGAGTAACAGCCATGGTTTAAAAAAAACAACACTGACTTTTGATTCAGCACTCTGAACTCAAAGCTGTTTCTTAAGCATTTTATGCTTCTGTCACAGTTTTACTCTCTGTGGGCTCGTTTGTCACTGTCATCCAACCATGGCCAGCAGCAGAGAGCAGTGAAAATGTCTTTGTGCAGTATGACAAAGTAATAACACCATAAATCATAAAAACAGAAAAAATGAAAGTAAAATTTACATGATTTTGGTCATTTTACAAATGTTGTTTTCTTAAAAACTGGAATCAGTCGGGGCGCTGCAATAGCTCAGCTGGTTGAGCTGGCATCCCATGTTCAGGGGCTCTAGTCCCCGACGCAGAGGTCGTGGGTTCGTGGGTTCGAGTCCCACTAATGGCCCTTTCCTGCAGGTCCTTCCCCCATTCTTCTCCCCAACTTTCCTGTCTCTCTCGAATTTCCTATCAAAGGAAAAAAGCCCAAAAAAATAACTTAAAAAAAATAAAAATCTGTATATACAGCATTTTCCAAGTACCAACAGGTGTTGCCATTTGACATACTATAGACATTCTATTACTTACACTTTTGACTTATTCCCATCCTTCTGTCCTGTCCTTGTTTTTACAGAATTTGATTTGAGTAGATGTTTTTCAATGAGACATGTAGAATGAAGTGGTTGTGATAAAATCTCATAATTTCAGCTCAGATTTGGTAAAGTTTCTTGACAAAACGGCATGTCATGGATGAGTAGTTCAAGGACTGACAGAAAGTTACAAATCTGACGATTCTTTCTGTTTTCAGGGTGTGTGGCTCTGATAAAGGGTGTCATTTTGACAGTTTAAAAAACAAAAAAAACATGTCTTTTAAACCCATTGGCAAGTTTTGACATTCACAGGGTAAAAAATGAAACAAACAGTGAACCATGACAGTAAGCTTTATAGGTCATAGTGCAGTCATGTTAAAAAAGAACACTAACAGCTGGTTTGAAATGGTAAACGAACAACATTCAGGGTAACTTTCATTGTGACCCATCCATCCACCTCAACCTCATCTTTTACCCAGATTTTGTGACTCTACAACAACATCACCTCACTTCTTACTGTCTCTAAGCATAATTACTACAGTATGGGGGCATTGTTGTCGCAAAACTATTTGTCCATGCGTATGGAGAGTCGTCTGTCTGTATCTCAATCCGTTCGTTCGAAGTGAGATTTGTGTAAAAGAAGTTGTCGATGCGAACCGGAATTTGTCTGTCTGTAATTACATAGTCAAATGTGTAAAAAATCTGCACATCTGTGTTGAAATTTGTACATGTAGTAAGAGTTGTCAATGCGTACAAAGAGTTGTCAATGCGTGCAGGTATTAGAAGTTGAAAAATCTACATATTCAAATACAAATGCTGAAAATGCAGACAAATCACCAGTTACCAGTTGAGCGAAATTCTGGTTCGCATCGACAACTTCTTTGACACAAATCTCCCTTCGGACGAACGGATTGAGATACAGATAGACGACTCTCCATATGCATGGACAAATAGTTTTGCTACAATAATGCCCGCATACTACAGCCACTAGAGGGCTTTTTAAAAATACTAGGGGTCCAAAAAGTTGTTTGCACAAGTAACCTGTGGGATTTTTGGGGATATTTTTTTTTTTAAATTTAAATGAGTGAACAGGGCTGCAAGGTGACGCGGTGGTTCGCACCTTCCAGCCCTATTGGAAAGTCGCCAGTTTGCATACCAGTGAGGACACCCGGGATCTTTCTGCGTGGAGTTTGCTCCCCGTGCGGCGTGGGTTCTCTCTGGGTTCTCCGGCTTCCTCCCACAAGTCCCAAAACATGTCGAGGTTAATTGGTGATTCTAAATTGTCCGTAGGTGTGAATGTGAGTGTGCTTGGTTGTCTGTCTCTAAGTGTAGCCCTGTGATAGACTGGTGACCTGTCCAGGGTGTCCCCTGCCTTTGCCCTAAGTCAGCTGAGATAGACTCCAGCCCCCCACTGCCCTAGTGAGGATTAAGCGGTGTATAGATGATGGATGGATGGATAAGTGACCAGGCTTCACCTGTTGGTTGGCAAAGAAATGCAGATTTGTTGTACGCAATGTTAGAGAAGGACGAAACTAAAGACACTGAGTCAACAGTAAGAAGATCTCCCAGAGGTCCAAAACCTGACTGCCTCCCGAAGCTTGACCTAAGAGTGTGTGAGAAAATTAGCCTTTAATCATCCTTTAATCCGTTAAAAGGTTTTGGAATCAACAGATGAGTCGACTGCTCACGTCAGGGTCTCTTGATAAATCTGAATTTTAAACGTCACTGAGCTCTAACTGCCATGTTTACAGATTAAGTGTTTTCGTGACCGCAGTAAAACTTATGTCTATAAAGCGTGTTTGGCAGAAAAGTGGTGGTGGGGTGCTGGGGGGGTCCGCTGGTCTTGTTTATATGACAACAATATCTTTACCATCCATCGGTCTGACCACTGCTGTATGATAGACGAACTTCACCACTCCTTGTGATTGTTTCTTTCTGACACATCAGAAAGCTCAAAATAGACAGAAACTGTCACAGCAAGCTTCTCTTCCAATTTTTTCGGTTGCCCGGGTGACGAATCCCACCCATGTGATTGGTTGCTGAAAAGAAGCAGCAGTGACGACACCAGTGCCTTTCTGAAAAGCTTTGAGATTTTCAACTAAAAGTGTATAAAAAGGACAAAGCTCTCAGAAAAATAACATCTTTTTCGAGGTGTTCGTATTCACTCTCTCTTAATTGGAAAAAAAATAAAATAGAAGTAAAGATGCTAATGCTAAATGCTATGTGGACACTTAGCTTTAGTGTGCTTTTTAATTCTATGTAATAAATAATTTAAAAGATATGAAATATGGTGTATGTGCCTACCATGTTTTTAAAAATCTTCATTTCCTTCAAAAAGGGGGAAATCTTACTTTTGTCAAAAAAAAAACAGATTTAAATCTAAAAAAAAATGTTAATTCTTAGTGTACCTACATATAGGCTAAAATGTAGATAGATTCACTACAGAGACAGGAAGGAAGGAAATGCATTGCAGTGTTTTTTGGTTATATTTTGTATGTTGATGGTCATTTTTAAAGAGCCCCTCAGCTGAAAATCTTTTGTTTTATGTTGTTATCATGTCCATATGGTGTTTTTATATGCAAGAAGATACATCATGAGTGAAGGTTAGCTAGTTAGCTCAATCTGCCATGAGTAGGGAGAGCGGAAAACTTTTAAAGAAAGCAATAGTGTAGAGTTATATCAGTCATTTTAAGATTTTCTCATTATTTTCATGAAAAAAATCATGGAAAATATAGTACTTTGACTCACAGAGGTGAGTTTTTCAGGAATAAATCAACACCTGAAGGTGGCTTTAATGTTGAATCGGACTTTTGAAGTTTAGGCCTTAAAACCCCATTGATCAGAAATTCTTTACAAAAGCACTCACAAAAATTGTGAATCAATAAACTGGTCATTAGTTCAAATGCAGCAGTGTTTAGAGATGTAAATGTAAATTCTAAGTCCTGATTTTGAGCCTCTTTCTTTTTTTTCAGGTCGCTACAAAAGAACCGACTTCAGAAACTAAGAGCGAGCACGTTCTTTAAGTACCAGAGCCTACAGAAACTGTGAGTTCTCCATTAATTACACATGGCACATCATTAGAATATACTCATATTACGTCATTTAACTTTTAAATGCCTCTAATTATATGTTGGATTTTTTGCATTTCTTTTATTAATGATTTTCCCATTTATTATTTTCCACTTGTCTTTGTCTTCTTTCTGTTTTTGAAACGCCTCATACATAATACATGACTATTATCAGGACACGCTATTCATTCAGTGGAATAAAATCTCTTCACTCGGCCTTTGAGTGGCAATACAAGAGACGAGTTTCACTGCTACAAAGCCGATGTGTTTTAAGACTAAGAGGACTGTTGGGAACACTGACAGATTGTTCTGTTCAGTGTACTGATCCTTTCATTGCCAGTTCGTGCTGTGTATCGACCTCTCACAGCACCACTGATGGCAACGGGAGCGATCTGATCCTTCGCCAGAACCTGTGTCAGACTGACAGCCTTTAGTTGGTTTTACCTGATTGAAACCTTCTCTGAGATATGCATGTACAAATCATCAGAATAAACTGCCAGGGGTGAACAATGAACAATCAGAAGAGGTTTGCTGTGTTCGCAAAATGTGACATAAATGGTGCCAAGAACTAAAAGATCTGTCAGCTGAGCTAATGTCGACACAGCAATACATAGTATAGGTAGTGTTGTTCATAGTCCCAATAGAACAATAAAGTGGAATAAAATAGCAGCTCAGGTTCAGGTTATATGTGGGTTGGTCACTTTGTTGAATTGAGAAGGTCAATGGCGTTTGGGATGAAAGACTTCTTAAAGATACCTTTGGCCAGAGGGGTTCTGTAGCGCCTCCCAGACTTCAGAAGTGCAAACCTATTAACATGACGATGGGATCTATCTGCCAACATTCTCCAAGCTTTTGTCCTCATCCTTTAAGTCCATATGTGGGTCAGAGACTTTTGGGGTTTGCCCACAATTTTACTTCCCATCGTGACAATCCTATTTAATTTACTTTTGCACTTACGGCTCAGGTGACCAAACCAAGCTGAGAGGTGAAATGTTAGGACACTCTTTGTGTGTGCAGTGTACACAAGTTTAAGGATCTATGGATTGACTGCAAGTCAGCTCAGTCTTCTCAGAAGGTACAATCGCTGTGAGCATTTTTTTAAAAACTAAATCAGCATTTTCTGAAAAATTTAACTGGCAGTCCATAACAGTGCCAAGGTATTTAAAAGCTTCCACAGTTTCAACATGTTGACCATCCGGTGGAACAGGGTCCACTGTCAGATCATGTTTTGTACAGAAAACCAACTCCTTTGTTTTAGAAACACTGATTTCTAGCTGGCTGTCTCGGCTTCCAGGACTTTAATGTGAGAAAGATAGGAGGTCTCACCAGAGGAGTCAGTTTTCTGTAACAAGCCAACTAATGCCATGTCATCTGCATACTTAATTTGAAATTATCATCATTGAGTGCAGATTCATTAGTAAATAACGAAAAGAGCAGAGGTGAAAGAATAGAATAGAATAGAATAGAATAGAATAGAATAGAATAGAATAGAAAAATACTTTATTTATCCCAGGCCTGGGAAATTATTGAAAGAACGCTGCCTTGTGAGCAGCCTGTGCTTATGACAGCCTCTTCTGACCGAGTACCATTAACACACACCTTCTGAGGGCAACAAGAGAGAAAGTCTCTGATCCAAAGAATCCGGTCCTCATCAATATTTAGATCAGCCAGCCTTTTCAGTAGAACGTGCACTTTCATGGAGTTAAATGCTGCTCTGAAATCTACAAACGAAACCCTTGCATATCCTTTAGAACCTGTAAGCTGCTTGGAGATTGAATCTGTCAGAGTCAGTACGGCGTCATCGGTGCCTCTGTCGCTTTTATAGGCATACTGTAGTGGATCTAGAACGGCAGCCACCGTAGAGGTCAGGAGGTCCACCAGAACTTTCTCCATTGTTGTACACAGGATGGAGGTGATAGCAATGGGCCGAAAATCTTCAGGCTCTTTTTGGTATCGGACTGATTACAGATACTTTCCAGGCTCCAGGAGGGAATTAAACAGCCTTGAGAAGACCTCTTCTAATTGGTGGGCACAGTCTTTAAGTGGACGGGCTTTCAGGCCATCTGAGCCTGTGGTCTTATTTGGTTTAAATTTAGAGAGACTTTTAGCAACACCATCAGCTGTTCTGTCAGTGAAGCAGCTGGGAGATGTTTACAGATCTTATCACATTTCAACTTGTCATCCTCAGTGTCCAATCTGCAAAACCACTGATTCAGTTCATCAACAAAACCTTGGCTGTTATTTACAGAACTCGCTCCTTTTTTTTTTTTACTGGTTTTGCCCTCCCAGACCTGTTTTATACTGAAGTATTAACACTCAATCTTTTTACCATATTCCATTTTTTGCTTTAAGTATATATCCTTACTGTTTTCCTGCCAGAACAAAAAGCAACTTTTTTTTCATGAGCAAGATTTTTAATTGTTTCGACACCCAGGGTTTGTTATTTGGGAATATCTTTACAGTCTTTATTTTAGTCACAATGTCCTCCAATGAAGCTTAAGACTGTTTCATGCTTCTTTTTAATATATATAGATATCTCCAGCACAACAAAATTCGAGATGTGAGTCCAGATGCATTCAGAGGGCTGTACAACCTAACACGACTGTAAGTGTGTTGATTTTAGTAACAACTGTGATAGACAAGGCTCCTGTGTCTGGATCATAAAATAAATCCAAGCATGAGTTCAGGCAGCTGATGTGGACATTATTCACAGTTCTTTTCTTAGGGTTAGTATGTAAACTACTACTTTTTTTTCTGTGATTTTTAAAAGTTATTATCTGCAATTTAACAAAACAGGAAAAATATTTTTAAATAACTTAAAATTGTTCACAAAATTACAATTGCTTTGTAGAAGAACGCATTTCATTTGTAACCGTGCTCCAAACGTGTCTCTCCCTTTGTAGATACCTGAGCTACAACAAGATTTCTGTCCTGATGCCGGGTGTGTTCAGGGATCTGCACAAGCTGGAGTGGTTGTATGTTAGTTTACTACTAAAACAGTTCTAATCCAACGCACACATCTTTATCGATGATGTTTAGTTGAATCCATATTCTGCTCATAAATTGGAATTAACAATAACCTGTTTTTGTTCTTACTGTTGTAGGATCTTAGAAAACAACAACATCCATCAGATGTCGTCCATGACGTTTTCAGGACTGAACTCTCTTGTGTTGCTGTGAGTTTGAACTTATACTCGGTGCTACGTTGAGACTTTTCCCCCTTCGTTTTATTTGCTGTGATGTCCTTTCACGTCGTCACAATTGCTGCTTTGAAGAGCCTTTGTTGATGCGCCGCGGCTGATTGAATGTTCCTCTTTTGAACATTAGAGGAAAGTGCTCCACACCTTGTTTCACTTTGTCTCGCTGATTGACAGGGTTCTGCTGAACAACACTTTGACAAAGCTGGATGACATCTGTCAGGAAATGCCCAAATTGAACTGGCTGTAAGTAAGATGTCAAAAATAAGTCAAACGTTGTCTTGACATTAAAGTGACAAGCCTTTTGATGAGGTTTTTTTTGTCTGTCTATGTGGGTTTGGGTTTGTCTGTACATTTCCTTTGTTTGTGTGTGCATTTCATAACATGTTCTTGCAGAGATTTGGAGGGAAATCTCATTGAAACAATTGGAAACGTCTCATTCTGCTCATGCAGCATGCTGACGGTTCTGTAAGTACACATTTACATAATTGAATCCATGTCAGAGGCAAAGGTTTTGACTTTACATTTTTGCTTTTGCATGAATTTCTTGACAGAGACTCAGAAATCAACCTTATGTTTTACAAACATTGATTTGTAGAAGTTGAAGTGTAATTGTTCTTTCTGTGTTTATTTGCCTTTTTCCAGGGTCTTACAGCGAAACAGGATCAGCCATATACATGAGCAGGCTTTCTCGGTCCTACAGAAGCTTGGAGAACTGTAAGTTCATTTTGTTTGATCGTGCAAACAGGATTAGGATATTTCCAGAAAAAAAAAAAAAGAAAAGAACAGCTACAGGTTAAACTCTTGTTCTATGTTGTATGAGTGTCTGTTGTACAGATGATGTGTATCACAGTGTCTTTCTACAAATGCCACAATATTAAAAACAAGAAAATAATTGGGAAAGCCAGATAACAAGTATAGTCATATTTTTATAGTCCTCAGAGATTCTAGTTTGTGTGAAGGAAAAATGTCTTTGTTCTCTTTTTAGTTAAGCCTCTGTTAGAATGATGCTGACCTTTTGGCTCTTTGAACTTCCCTTGACCTCCTCCCCAAAAGTATGTGTGACATGTAGGGCGTCAGTCTACGAAACCAATATCTGACATATACTTGTCTCTAAATTCGATGCTGTAGGACCGTGCCCCTGTGTAGATGTATGGTAGGAGGACAGACAGGCAATCTTTGTGCCTGTCAAGGCTGGATTCCGCTCTGCGCCGAGCTATCTTCTTGTTTGTCATAAATCTAGATACAGTCTCCCACCGAAGGACAGAATAAAGTCGAGGGTGTGGGAGAATCCTCAGAATTGATGCTGGCATTGCTTGCATGAACTGCTGCTCTGTTGGTGTCACTTCTCACTTCTCTGTGCATCGGCCTCCTCATCCTCTCTCGACCTCGCTGAATTTCCACAGCAGCCTGGATTCTTATTAGCTCTCTTCCACTGTAGGCATCACATCACACTGACAAGTTTGTGAATAAGTATGTGTAAAAGTAAAAGACAGATCTGAAATTTAACAGGCAAAAGTCACTCCTCTGTTGATTTTAATGGCAGTCTGCGTATGTGCTCCAACTAAAGCACATGTTTTGTTGTAGTTCCTGTTTTTTCATTGATTCGTGGGTAGTTTGATGCTGTCTGATAGCTTGGCTGCCATAGCTCTCGTAATATTTGGAATATTTTGGGGAAGAAAAAGAAGAAGCTGGCAAAGAACCAAACTCACCAGACTCGTCCTTTACAATAAAGAAATACTGTTTGAAAACATATTGCAACATCCTTTTTTTCATTCATGTTTTTGGAATGTCTTTGCGTTTTCTTAGAGTTACTGTTGAAGCAGTGTGGGGCATTGATTTTTCATTTAAACAAGAATCAACACTGATTTTATTTTTCGGTGCTCCTCTTTTGTGCTGCATTTCAATGGACTCCAGTCTTCTTCAGTACTTTAACAAAAGCTTTATGAGTCCTAACAGCTCTTCTCTTCTAATGTCTTTAGAAATCTGGATTGATTTAACCTTGTTTTTTTTTTTTTGCCTTGGTGGTTCTTTTGAAGGACACAATCACATTAAGTGTAAAATCTGACCGCGAGCGCTGGATTTTAACATCAGTCAGGTTCTTAGTTACTCACATTCTTTGCCTCAGCTGTGGATGCTTCAGACGAAATGCTGATTGCGTTTATCTTTTGGGATTTTTATTTGTGTTTTTTTGGTCATGCATATATTTTTTTTTCTAGTTCTCCTTATTCCTACAAATATAGATATGTAGTATGCTTGAAGGATAAAATTGGCAATTTTCTACAGTTTTTATTTATTTGTTTGTTTGTTTTTAATCAGAAAATCCCATTTAAAACGATGACTTGTTTCTACTGAAATGTGGAGCTAAATCCTGATTCCATCAAACTCTCTCTGTTCCTCCGTTCCAAAGACAATTCAAAACTTGTCAATAAGTCATATTGATTTACATCCTAACATGTCCTTGGATGCCCTCTTGAAAGACCAAAGAACAATTTAAACTGAATGAGTGCTCCTGCGCACGTTCGCATAAACACATATGTAACGTACACGGTCCTCACAAATGGTTGTGCTCTTTTTCTCGGAAGCTCTTTTATGATGGAGATGTTCTTTTTTTAGCTGTAGATGTTCTTTTATGTTGTTTTTATGTTATGTTCAAATGTGTGTGCTGTGCGGCCATGTAAACAGACAAAAGGTTGTCTTATCCTGTGTACTGCTGCGAGATGTGCAGGAGATATATTTATACACAGTCGTCCCCAGATGTATTCAAACCCTTCCATTAAAGAGAAGGCAAAATTCACAATAGTCACTCAAATAGCTAGAAACTGGAAAAAGTAATATTTTTTTTCTTTTTTTTTTTTTTAATTGCTAAATTATAATTTAGTGAAATAAGACATTGCTTTTGAATTGGGGTATGAATATATTTGAGGACTACTGTGTATATATGTATATATGCACACAGGGATGTTATTTGCAGTTTTTTTAGTGGTGTGTATTGTTACAGGTCATGGCAAATGTATGTTAAAATGTAATCAGCTCTAATATATCAGACAATAAAAAAAGACAAAAAAAAAAAAGAATAAGCTTAATTTCTCTGCTTGACTTTTAGCCTTCCTATTAGTTGTTTCCAAAGCAGTATGTAGTATACAAAGAAAGAATGGAAGGAAGGTGATCAAAGAGACAGGGAAGAAGAAAAAGTGAACACAACTGAGCATCAGTGTCATCAAGTCGATGAAGTAGCTTTATGACCAACTATCCACAAGCTGAAAAACAAGGACTGATGAACTGAACACAGCATCTGTCTCTAGTAACCGTGCAGCCTCAACATGTCTTGTAAGTGCATCACTGCTGTTGGGGTCACTGTCACTAAAGCTGCTTCCTTTAATACATCTCATGCACAGACTATAGGTACAGATGACACCCTGGGGTGCATCACCATCAGTGAATGACTGTGTAATCGTAGTGGCAGTGTCTATTGCAGGGATGCTGTTTTTTTGCCAGTTACACAATCCACCCCCTGCAAGCTAAAAAAGTTACAGAGTAGGGATTTTCCTTTATATTTCTGAATGCATCTGTCAGATCCCCAGTGTTGTGCATAAGTATGTAATTGTTGTTTTGTGTTTTTTGGGAACCGATGTGGATTTGTCTCTGCGGGCAGGGATCTATCCAGCAACAGACTGGTCGCAATCCCTCCCAATCTCTTTGTTCTATTGGAGGATTTGCTTCAACTGTGAGTTCTGTTTGCACAAACACCCTTAGATCTATTGCTATGTATGCAAGCTTACCTATTCCATGACTATTTCTAGTTTTGATGCTGTCAGGGAATGACTATGTTTATTATAGGGATTGTTGAAGTGAAATTAAAAAATACAAAATCGCCTCTCAGAGACTTTAGAGTGAATAAAATGGACTTTTGCATTCAGCTGTATATGCATCTTTGCATTGGTAGGAAATTTACTCACTTTTTTTACCTAAGGAAAAGCTGCCAAACCACAATGTAGAAATACAAAAAAAAAAAAAGGTAGACAATGAAAAAGTACAAGACTTACATCCAAAATCCAATGAAATGGACTCGTTAAATATTTAAATGCAAGTATCTCAAAACAAAGAGCAAACAGGAATGTGATATTGATTTGATTTGGCCCTGTGCTGGATTAGACGCTGCATTATTTTATTTTAAATCCATAATTGATCCCTCCAAATCCAAGTCTCGTAAAGGCAGACATTGTGGTGGTTAGATAGCAACATGTCATGTCAAAAGGAGCGGTGCAAGGACACATCTTCTGCAGAATGTAACATTACAGCAAGATAGGAAGGTAAACATGTGGGAGTTAAAAGAACCAGTGCACTTGCATTAAAAATGAGCATATACATACATACATACATACATACATACATAAATGTCAGCAGTGGTACATCTGCCGAAGCGCTGGGATTTGATGTGTGTGTTTGTGTCCTGCTATGTATGTTGTATGCTCTAGAATGTCAATAATACATGCTATTTAAATGATTTTCACTGCTGAATTTCTTATTTTTATCTTCTAGAAACATATCATACAATCCCATCGTAGAGCTCCAAGTTGACCACTTTGACAAGCTGCATAAATTGAAATCATTGTAAGTATTTGTAGCTGCATCCCTAACAACTCGTTAAAACGGTTTTAGATTTAAAAAAAAAAAAAAAAAAGCACTGTCTGCTTTGTTGGAAGAGATATTTGAAGAGCTCCACTGTTATGTTTAATGCCATGAAAAGGGGGAAAAAAAAACACACGGAAGTTTGAAGGATGTCATTATTCTTCCAGTATTACCCCACACAGCTTTCACTACATGATGGTTTTTGTTCATCATTTGACTATTATGTGGTTAATGTGCTTTTTCTTTTGAAGCAGAAGAATAAGCTCACGAAGGTCAAAACCTGTATCAACAGGAGAAAGAAAACGGATTTGGGCTCATAGAAATCTCTCATTTTAGCCCTGAATGGCTACTTGATGAAAACATTTTTTCTTTTTGGTGCTTTGCAAGACTGGAAATCGTGTACAATTACGCTGTAAGGTGTGTGTGTGTGTGTGTGGATTGGACTAAAGTAAAATCAATATGTTTTTATATTTGCCAGGAGCATAGAGGGAATAGAAATTGGAAACATACAGCGAAGGATGTTTGAACCTCTCAAATACTTGACCCACATGTAAGTACTGCACCGACATGTTCTCAGTGTATAGAGTTAATCCTCATTATTCAGTGTCGGCCATCGTAGAGACCGTAGGTTTTTTTTTTCCTGAATGCTGTCTGTCTAGTGGGGAGCCTAGAGCTACTTTATTGAAGCTGTCATGCTTCTGTTCCAACTGGGAGTTGATTATGTCAGGATTAGTGTAATCCATCTCCTCTGTGGCTAAAAGAGCTCCAGACACATCAGTGGATGTCCTGGAAGGGATGCAAGAAGGGAGGAAACAAGAGAAGATGGATGTCTTTTTAGTCTTGCAGAGGCAGAGGTTCTTTTTTTCTTTAGGGCTTAATCAATGATTGAGTTACATACATTTGAATGCAATTTTTTTCTCTCTCAAAAAAGAATCTCTAATCTTAAAGCAGCAGTTCACCAGATAGTTTTTTGTTTGTTTGTTTTTTTCAGGCTTTGAATTACCCCACCAGTGCATTTCAAGTGAATCCAACACATTTGTGGTTACCAAAGTATTAAAAGAATCATTTAAAATTTTCAAAAGCAGCACCTCTATCCAGGAAGATTGTGTTTTTACAACTCTAGATAATCCACAGGTAAAGTGAAGAACTGTTTTCAAAGGGACAGCGTCCAGTAACCAGAGTTTTCAGGTCCATGGAGTGTCAGTTGGTAGATCCATCACTTTGATCAAGACAGAAACAGCATCATCATCATCATCAGATATAAAAATATTTGTTAAATTACCATTAAAACTTTAAACAGAAATGCCCTGCTTAAGATGTATTGAATGAAATAGAGCCACCATAATGTCAACGTTTTAATTGTGCAGTTCTTTAGTTCATGTCGCTGTACTTGTTATTTTTTGTGCTAGTTAGCAATGCAAGATGGTTACACTAGAATAGTCTGCTAGTGTAAGCCTGTAGCACTGACAGATCCATACATTGTGTATTTCGATGTTATGTTATTGCTTAAGTTGTGTAGTTTCCCTGTTGATTTGGGGAATAATCACCAGAACCTATTTCTGTCACAATTTCTGCTTTACAACTGTCTGAGTGTATAGAAAGAAAAACACAATGGACATACATTCTGTGCCAACATCCCACTTGACTGGATAAACCAAAACCTTTCCTTTGTCTTTTAATCTTTTAATCACAGCTACTTCAAGAAGTTCCAGTACTGCGGCTATGCTCCTCATGTGCGCAGCTGCAAGCCCAACACCGACGGCATCTCGTCCTTTGAGGACCTGCTGGCCAACATTGTGCTGAGGGTCTTCGTCTGGGTCGTCTCCGCCACCACCTGCTTCGGCAACATCTTCGTCATCTGCATGCGCTCTTACATCCACTCCGAGAACAAACTCCACGCCATGTGCATCATCTCCCTCTGCTGTAAGTTGACACTGCACTTAAAGCACGAGGAAAGGCACAGAGGACAACATTTTTACTGGCTGAGAATGTGGAAATATTTGTTTGCTATTGTGGAAGTTCATAATTTCTGCTCTATAATGTATTCTGCAAGCTGCTTTTGAAAACTTAATACTTCATGAATGAGACTAAAAGTGCCATCCACTAAATTTGGCAGTTAGTTAGATAAGGTATATCATGAAGCTACATGTACTGTGGAGTATATTTCACAGTTATCTTGTATGCAGCACACCAAGGAAAGCACTTCAAATGCATGTATGAACTTCAAGTGGAAATATATCAGCATGAAATCTGAATATGCACTCCTATCTACTGCTTAGGCATGTGTGAGCATTCAGATAAGGGCTGTGAGTGTTGCTGTTGTTGCAGGTTTTAAGAGGAGATTCAGAAGTTTTGTGGTTTAAGAAGAACAGCTGTTTAGAAACTCCGGTCTGTCTGCTGAGTTCAGCGATGTTTGTAAGATGTGTGTGTTCTCACGGAAAGACGGGTTATGATTTAAAGATGACAGCGCAAATGCCAGACAGGTAAATGTTTGATACGACGTGGACACACTCATATTTAAAATCAGATCGAATTTTCCGTCACACTTTGCCATGCCAGCGTGTGCTAGCGTCAAATTAGTATGAGTCGCTCACAATATGAGAAGACAAGTTATGGGAGGAATTCATCGCAGCGTTCGAAGAGAATATAAAACAAACTCTGTTTTTACTCTAAGGAGCTACCTGGTGTAGAAAGTCAGCACAATGAGCCCCTTTTCCACATTCATCAAGTTCCAGTGGTTAAGCTATAAAACAGGATAGTGTGAATTGCATACATACATTCCAAGAATGTATTGCATTTTTCTGGTAACTACACAAAGAGAAAAGGGCAACTTTGAATTTCTATAAGCTGATGCTGGCATTTCTCATCTATATGTCACATATAAAGGATCCTATATGTGTCCTGAGGGTATGTAAAGCAGGTGTCAGATACCTTTCCTACTGCATTTGCAATGAACGCTGTGCTGAGGATGTCGGTTGTTATTCATCATCTCATTTTAGGGCATTTTAAGGTTCGCTTGCTTGATGCACTGACCTTTAAAAGTTTATTACTGGAATGCCAGTGGGGATTGTTTTCTGCAACAGTCAATGATTTATGGTGACTGAAACAAGACAACAGCAGAGCTGAAGGTGCTTAGCTGAAGTGGAGTAGATTATGTTTGTATCTTTACACAGGCAGGGCATGTCTGCATAATCTGCTTATTAAAGGTAGAAGCTGAATCTGGGGAAAAAAGAGCCATAAACAGTGGAAACATGGAAGTGTTTGAGGCATTTGTACTTAGAACTGGAACAAGAGCTGACTTTAAACAAGTATTCTTCATCTATCCTTGACTCTTTACTTCTCTATTCTTTTGTTTCTTCATACATTTTCTTTTAGTTATTTCCCAAAACACTTCTTTATTTTTTCTGCAACTTAGGCCAAGGTCCCTTGTTGCAAAAGAGTTTTATCCCAGCTGAGTTGACCAGAGGACAGCTCTGATCTTTGTAACGAAATGAGCCTCCCATGGAAGCATAAAAAAACAAAACAGAAAATGTAGCAAAACTACACTTTATGAATAAAATTGCACTTGTTTACAGTAAAGGGCACCGCCAAATATGGAAATTTAACTTCCAATATTCCAGATTGAATATTAATAGATCATCTACTTGTCTTGCTCAGTCTCAATATCAAAAGCCGCTACAGCTGTCATGTCCGTCAAGTCTCTGTACACATTCTATGTCTCGTCTTTCCTGTTTTATTTTGAAATCATTTCACCGGTTGTTTCTGTTCCAGTTTTGCTTCCTGCACCTGTCTTGTCACACCTGTCCCCTGATGGCTTTCCCGCACCTCTTTCTCATCTCCCCTCATTACCTCGTGTTTATTACCTTGTGTGTCGACGCCAGCTCGTTGCACTTCACAGTCCTCGTACAAGCGTTGTCAAGTCATACTCTGTTCGATCACGACCTTGTTTCTGTTTTTTGGACCTTGCTTTTTGCCTGATGATTCCTGGATACCTCTGCCTTGTCTGACTGACCTCCTGCGTACCGAACCCTGCCTAACATTAAACCTGCCTTTTTGCCTGAACCTGTCTGTGTCGAGCATTTGTGTCCACCTGTCTGTCATCAGTGAGTTCATGACAATAGCTCAACTGGTTGAGCTGGCGACCTGTGTACTGGGGCTGTGGTCCCTGATGCAACGATCGTGGGTTTGAATTCAGCCCATGGCCATTTGCTGCAGGTCCTTCCCCCATTCTTCTCCCCACTTTCCTGTCTCTCTCTCTCTATACTGTCCTGTCAAATAAAGGCAAAAAGGTCAAAGAACGACTTAAAAATAAAAAAGAAAGAAAAAGAAATACACAATAGAACTGACAATAATTATACACAGAACATTTATGAACAATACTAAAAACAAAAAACAACAACAATGATGTAATAAACAGTGAATAAATAAATGCAGGAAGACTAACTAATTAACTGTAACAGTCCCTGGAAGCAGTTGGCAGAGTGGGAGTCAATTTAGAGTCACTTTGGAACTGAGAAGCCAATCGTAATTTCTAAATTCACCCATTTAGCAGAAAGAAAATGATACTTGCGTAGCCTTTGTAGGAGGGCAAGGGAGGCCACTGCAGGATGTGTTGAAGGGATGATCTGCTGGATGAGCTGGTTCAGGATTGTAGAGGCAGGACGGCACTTCTGCATAGTTGTGTGGAAGAAGTGCCGAAGTAAAACAATTAAGAGTCAAGGTTCATAGTTATAAGGAAAATATTCTGACTGTTGTGTTGTAAAAAGACGCCCAACTTTGAGTAAAACATAGAAAAACAAAAAGCTTAAATTGTAGAAAAGCCAAAGTAAAAGTAGTGTAGAAAAAGCCAAAGTTCAAAACTAGTAAAACCCCTCAGGAAAAATAAGCCCAAATTCAAAAGAAGAAAAAGCCCAACAACAGTAATCAAGTAACAAGCTATAGTTTTCTAAGCCATTTTTGTATTTCAGTAACTTTATTTTATAGACAGAGTTTTAGAGCCAAATTCAAATCAGCATCTGACCAATCATGGATTCACTGTCCAGTGGAGGTCAGAGGTCAAATACCTTTCAAACTTACTTTTTGTTCATTTTTGAAATGTAAAAATCTAACTGTTCAATATCTATGATGATCCCAGATCTAAAATCAGACCAAACAATTGATAAAAATGACTCCAAACATCTCATATGGTGCCAGATATAATATGAAAGTATAAACATGCAAAGAAATTGTAGAATTTCAGGATATTTGAAAGTAAACACACACATACATATTCAATGATTACAATAAAATGTCTCTTTGGGATGTTTGTGTCTCATGTGTGCTTCACCACAAACACTTATTATGTGAGTTAATTTTCTGTTCACTTATATGTGGTACAGAAAGTTGTGTATGGTAGGGGGAGATAAAGGTCAGGAGGTCACCATGAAGAATCCTGTCTCCTCTGCTCCAGAGGTGTGGTTTTCCTCACAATTGACACTTTATGACCTTTGTCTGGTTTTGGTGGAGGTGGGAGACATTCTTTTGTCACCAAGAGGGCAGCAAGTGGTCGTTTTGTAGTAAACATCTGATCTGCGTGTGAGTTTTGGGTTAGCTTCAAATGTTTGAATCGGGCCTCTGGACTCTCTGTGTGTTGCCTTGGAATGTTCTGCAACTTTTACACGTTAAATCTAACCTTAAATGAAAAAATGCACAGGTCGTCTTTAATGATTATGTTCACCGTGTGTAAAATTCAGCTTGCCTTTTGATGCATGATTCCTGTTTCCATATCAAAAGAATTACTAACAAGAGGGTTTGAATAATAGATTCCCTCGATTATCAAAGAACTAAGCCGTAAGCGGTAACTAGTGAGGCAGTGGAGAATTATTCAGGGGATATAAGCTGTGAAAAACGTGCTTGGGCTCAGATGTATAAACGTCTTTGTAGATTAAATCCCAAGAGAGATGTGAAGACGGAGATGTGCAAATACAACTAATACACACTTGTTCATACAGATATGTTGACAACAAGCTTTTTAACCTTTGGGCACCAGTCAGACTTGAATTCGATTCCACTCCCTGTGTTCCCTCTGATGGGAACAGGTGGGGGTTTCATTTAAGTTTTCTAGTGCAGCTTCTTCGTCACCTTACTGTGGTGATATAAACCATAAAAGGCTCATTACTGCACTCTAACACCAGAGGCCCGCTGTTACGTGATGGTTGGTGAGAACCAAAGTTATAATGGGTGTGATTGCTACAAAGGGTAGCAATCAGCCCCTTCTCCACTTGAAAGCAAACTTCAGCAAGCAATACAAAATGTGAATTTTGTGCTGTAAACCCCCTCGAGCCAGTGTTCAGCCACACTCCGTGCCCCTTGTCTCAGGGAGGTGAGGCGAGTTCCAACGTCTTGTCCGCGGACCGTGGGGTCGAACACCTTTTTCATCTTCGCCACAAACAGAGAGTCGGAGGATCAGCTGTCAGTTTGTCTCTCTCACATTGCAGTGTCCCAATCTCTTGCCAAGCCCTTCAACAAACCAAGCAAATATGCTATTTTATCCTTCTCTGTAGCATAAGACAATGGCTGAAGATCGAAAACTAGAGAAACCTGCTTTAGAAATGTCTGACAAGACCCTAAGTCCCCGGAGTAACATTCGAGGACCCATACAAAAGATTCACAGACTAACTGTAACAGAGCCGGTGGGGCGCTGGCGGTGGCTACGCTGGAGTTACTAGTGGCAGCTGTAGGGCTGCTAACAGGAGGAGTCCTCTGTGATGTTAAAGTAGTGATCTTACCTGTTAACTGGGAGACGTGGTTGATTAATACGTTTGTACATTTCACAAGATTCTTTATCAAACATCATAATATATATATTGGCATGTGCACTTTTTATTCTTCTTCTTATTGTTATTATTATGTCTTTAATCCTTATCTTCTATATCTTATATGTATATATATATATATATATCCTCATATTTATAAACTTCAGCAAGCAATACGAAAGGTAAATTTTGTGCTATAAACCTTTTGAGGTGTTTTCAAAGGATATTTTTCTGCCTGCATAGAGCACAGAGAGAAACAGGATTAACGAGCGGAACAGAGACAGAGAATGAAAATATCAGACTGGGCCAGGGCTCACTAACACGAGGTAGTTTACAGACTTGCGTCAAGTTGTGGTCTGCTGGTTTCTTTTATGTGGTGAGGGTGAAAAGCTGTGAAGAGACCACTCCCTGCTGCGACTGGAAACAGTCTGGTGATTACTGATGTGCTGCACCTGCCCTCCACCTGTGCGCCTGCCACACTTACACCAACTCGGAAAAGGAGGTTAGAGGAAGGAGATAGAAGTACTGTCACTGGGCGAAGCCAGAGGTGGAGGGCATGACAGTGGTGCACAGTGGGGTCTAAAAGTCAGAAAGCAGGCAATGCTTCTGTTTTTGCATTGTTTCAAGCACAAGTTCTTTACCACCTTGCTAACATGTCCATTCCGTGTGTTCAGTATGTTAGAAGACATATGATGAGTGAAATAAGTAGCCAGTGCCGTGGCTGAGCATTTTCATACGTCGCAAACCTAAGAAATCAGTCCTGTCAGCTTGCAGGGTGAGGCTTACCCTATCGTTCTTCTTCAAAACTGGTTTGTAGTTTGAACATGTATGGCTGAATTACTCCAATATTACAACTTGCCATTGTATAGTGTAGATGTATAGAGTTTGAGCAGAGTCATAGGTAAGCTGGTGTGCTCCAGCAGCAGCGAGTGCAAGAGAGGTGGGGGCTATTTTCTTGATAGATAACTTTGTTACACAGAGATGAGTATTTAGGCCTGTGGCTGGAAAAAGTCTGCTCGTCTTATCACAAATGATAGTATCAGTTGAACAATTTGACTTTAAAATGACATGAATTTCAGGATATCTTCTTCTTTAATGGCAGTATGCCCTCAATGGCAACTCAATAATAGTAAAATACCCCTTGATTTGAAAGTTTTCACCACCATGTTTCACTTTTTCAGTGTCAGCTGCTGACAAGTGGTCTGTTCATCCTCTGGGACCAGTAAGAGACAGCTTTCTTTTGACAGTACTTTGGCTTATTGGACTTTTGCATTAGTTATTTAGCTAATTTTGTGTATGTGATGAAATAGCTTTTCTATTTGTGTAAAAAAGCTTGATGTATTGATCTTGCCCTATCCTTTGGTATCCCTGATGGTATTTGGACACAGCTGATGGAGTTTCCACAAAGCATTTTAGATTGTCATACAAATCTGACTCCTGACACTTCTCCTTAGTTTTAGTGCCATGTTTCCCACAATCACAATGCCATTTAGTGAGGCGCAGCCAGATTTATAGCAGCTGAAATTGGGTTTAACTGAACAAGCCACTGATGTAGTGATCAAATCCATCTTAGTGTAATCAGAATACTGCTTCAGTGACTAAATATACAAAGGAACTGACAAGGTAAATGCCACAAATTTTCTTAAATCTAATTGTTGACATAGAAAAACAGCAAACTCATGCTCCAATTATGCATTACACACATTACCTGAAAGTCAGATTTTAGTTGGCCACAAAGAAACTTTCATCAGAAGAACTGAAAGTCGATACTCTAGGTTTAAACCCTGAACATACACTGTTCTGTAAATTTAAGGTCAAACATCCAGTAGAATTGACCACTGATTATTAAGTGGTGGGGCCTTGATACTCAATGCTAACCTGACTGCTGGCTCTGGCTACAAAATTACTGCACACTGCTGAGAGTGGTGTTGATCTTGTCTTCTTACACGTAGCAAGAAAGCTGTTCAGCATTTTTCCCTGCATGTCAAACTGATCCCTTGATGCATGTATAATCTATTGATCATAACAGTTCATAACACATTGAATAATTGATGGTAACATCAAGGTTGAGTGGCTGTGGTCTACTTGTCATTATCAGTATTCAGATTAAATATAAAAAGCTGATTATGTTAAACCAATCTTGCATTTAGCTTGATTCTATTCTCACTTTTAAGACATTACATTGCAGTTTCCTTCAAAGGGAACTGCTGTACAAAAATGTGTTTTGACATGAAATCCCTGTTTGGTGTTCATATGTTTAGTGTCCAAATACATTAAGCTTCAGATACCCCAGACATAGTCAAAGTTTATAAATCCTGGTAATAATTTATAAAATACACGTTTCCTTTCAGGCGCAGATGGGCTGATGGGTATCTACCTCTTCATGATTGGTGCGTACGACCTGAAGTTTCGAGGCGAGTACAACCGACACGCTCAGGCCTGGATGGACAGCAGTCAATGTCAGGTCATTGGCTCTTTGGCCATGTTGTCCACTGAAGTATCCGTCCTGCTCCTGACTTATCTGACTTTGGAGAAATACATCTGCATCGTCTACCCTTTCCAATACTTGACTCCTGGCTGGCGACGAACTGTCACCATCCTTCTTGGGATATGGGTCTTCGGCTTTGTTGTAGCTTTCCTGCCGCTGGTCTGCAAGGGGTTATTTCGAAACTTCTATGGGACAAATGGAGTCTGTTTTCCACTGCACTCTGAGCAGCCAGAGACAGTTTGGGCTCATGTTTACTCCATTGTCATTTTTCTGGGTGAGGATTAGATCTTGCAGTAGTCCTTTGAGCATGTTGTTGTGTTTTCTTACTCTCTAAAGCTAACTGTAAATGTCATGATCTAGTGAGTGTATTTCTGTTTATTTGCATGTTTTGCATGAGCGTACATATAAATTCACAGTGCAAACATGAGCTGTGTGAATTTCCAGTAACTAATACAAATGTCTTCCTGTAGGTCTTAACCTGGTGGCATTCCTCATCATCGTCCTCTCCTATGCAAGCATGTTTTATAACATCCAGAGAACAGGCACTCAGACCACTAAATACAGCAACCACATCAAAAAAGAGGTGACCATTGCCAAAAGGTTCTTCTCTATCGTCATTACTGACTCCCTCTGCTGGATCCCCATTTTCGTCCTCAAGATCTTGTCACTGCTGCAGGTGGAGATTCCCGGTATAGTAGAAGAGCTATAACTGTTTAAAGAAACACTCCACTGAAAATGTACATTTTACAGTTTGAGTATTAAATGTAGGCTTGCTATGTGGCACTGGAACGTTTCCAGCTGCAGATTTGGTTTATAGTAATTCCCTGATGTTGTCATGCATGCTGTAGGTTCTTGATAACGACTGTGGTCCAGTTTAACAAGTGTAAACAAAGCAAAAAAAAACCTGCAATAAGCTTCAACAAGTAAAGCATGTAGCTGCTAGCTTTAAAGATATCATGTATCATGGAGATTTTGATCATTACTTTTAAGGCTTTTCAGGGCCAGGTTTCCATTTCTTTCCTTACCTGTGTGCAACCTGAGCATCTACTGTCTAGATTTAAGACTCAAGAGGACCATGCCTTTGCTATCAGGGCATCTAAACTCCAAATCACCCTTTCTGTTGAGTGCACACAAACATATCTTCCTTAAAATGAGCTCTTATGAACCATTTTTGTCAGTAAGCCAACAATACATTTTTAAGTCTTTTATTCTTAGTGTCTCATTATGTTTCATCTGTATCTCTTAGATTTCCATCTCAATCAGTTATGCTGGGTATAGCTTTTACTTAATTCTTGTATCCTTATAGAAATAAATCATACTATTTTTATTGTTCCACTGCCCACTCAGAGTCACAGCAAACACTATCAAAGTGTACAGATTTAGAGATATATAGAGGATTAAAAACAGTCCTTTAGCATAAGCTAGTTCTCCATCATTGGTCAAGATCATCACTGTCTATTTCAAACAATCGTTACTTTGCTAATACGTTGTTAAATTAGTTACTTCTGGCAGAGCTTTGGAGCTAAAAGGATGTGATAGCATAAGACAGAAGCAATATATTTAGTTATTTGATGTTCTGGAGAACTCGATTAGGATTACATTTAAAGAACGCTTGATATTGTTGTGGGCTCTCTTGTGTTTTTCTTCAGTCTCTCTCTCTCTGTCCTTCTTTGGTTTGTCTTTTCCTGCTTGTCTCCGTCCATCCTTGAGCCCTTCTCTATCTCGCCATAGTTTTGTGTCATTATTTGTATTGTGCTTGAACTTTGTTTACCCGTTAAACTTCATCTTTTGCAGGAACATACCGTTGTTTTGACTCCACCTCTTGTTCCTCGCCTCTTTTTGTTCTAGTTGCTCTCTGCCAGCTTTCCCTCACCACTAAGATTTTATTAACATCAATCTTTTGTTCCTTCAACCTGCTTGTCCGTCTTGTGTTTTCTGCTTTCGTCCCTCTTTCCGGGAGCTCATTATAACAGATGTGTTTTTTGTGGGCTGCATAACCAAATTGATTGCTGGAAGATACTGTCCATAGAAGATACTGCAAAGCAACAAGCTTTTTAGAGCCACATTTAAGGCTCAATAGGAGGAAAGTACTCAAAAGATTTTCAGTGGAGTATTCCCGAAAGTGCTCATTTCACATTGTGTTATTTAATCTCTTCGCCACACTGTAAAATGAATAAACATTTACTGTTATTTCAGTTTTCCCTTTTTTGTGAGATTACAGATAGTATTTAGTGAAATCACAGAATTTTACATGCCAACTGTTAAAAAAAAAATAAAAAAGCTAAAACTGCATATAACGTCCACATCAAAAATACAAGAAGTAATTTGTTCTTTTAAAAATGTAAAATTAAACTGTGTTACTGTTCTTAAAATTTTAACATCACAGTATATTTTTGTGGCACCCTTAACACCAAATTTTTACAGTTTTAATGGATTTTTTTAATTTACTTTTACAGTGTATGCATTGTGTTAAGGTTTATCTAACAATCTTTGTGTCTACATAATGAGCCTTTAACTGTAGTCCCCTTAGTGGACTTTTCAGTAATACTCAGTCAGTGATTTAGTGTTCTCAGTGGGCTCTGGCTCCATAATTAGGTCCCATGTGGGTATAATAGGTTTATTGTATTAATGGCATTGATAGAAGACGTCTAAACGTATTTCAAACTCTAAACTTAACAGTCTATAAACACAGACTATATACCAACTCTGCTTTCTCTTTATTTCTTTTGCCTCTCTTCTGACAGGCACCATCTGCTCCTGGGTGGTCATATTTATTCTCCCCATCAACAGCGCCCTTAACCCCATCCTTTATACGCTGACCACACGGCCTTTCAAAGAGACCATTCTGCAGGTGTGGGCTAACTACAGGCAGAGGAGGCCCCTGCTCAGCGGTCACCCGGCTCAGCATCCGTCGCTCACGTGGCAGGAGATGTGGCCCCTGCAGGAGAACTGCCACAGTGCCACCCAGGTGCATCCATTAGAGACGAAAGACACGCTAGCCAAGCTCACCCCCGTGGAAAATACTAACGATGGATATAATGACGTTACCGTGCACGCAACGCAGCAGCCAAAGCAGCACACAGTGCTGTCAGTGTGCTCAACGAAACAAACAGTGCCGCAGACACTGACACATTCCTACACGTACTCTCAAACAAATGAACTCCTCTAAGTGTGTAACAGCAGAACCACATTTTACAAAAACATACAGTTTAGTGCTTCATTTGTGCCCCCTGTCTCTCCTTTGTGATTCATTAGTATTCATTAGTGGGAGGGGGGTTTAAATCCCGCTGTGTGCATGTCGTCGTCCAAGCAGCAGCCGTCACGACAGAAGGGTGAAGTCGCTCATCTAGCAGTGAGATTCCTCTAATGAAGACTACAAGCTGGCTGCAAACAGCTGTCAGCACAAGGCAAGGGAAACCTGGACAACTTGGTGTTTGGACATAGTCTGTATATAAAAGATGTACGTAGCCTCCAGGTCTGAAAAGTGGAAGTGCCTTAACCCTGCATTCCTTCTAATGGCCAGCAGAGGGGGACTCCACTGGCTCCAAAGAGAAGTCTCCGTGCATAGAAGTCTAGGAGAAAATGACCCTACATCTCACTTTATTACTGTTT